AAAACCAAGCCCTAGTTCTTCCAATTTTTACACAAATTTCCAAGAATTAAAGGTTGATTCTTCAATAAAAATGACGTTTCTAGGTCACGAGACTTACCTCCAATTGATTCCCGTCAAAATCCTCTTCAATCTCTACCAAAAAGCTCTTAAGGTGGTCAACAATGGAGGAAATCATCCCAAGCTCGCGGATGAAATATTGAATAAAAACCCTCCTATACAGTCCAGTTTTCGCTTCTGCGGTCCCCACGCCTGCTTCCGCGTGACCGCTTCTGCGGTCCTTGTCCGCTTAAGCGGAAATTCATTAAATCACAAGGGTCGCTTCTGCGACACAATTTCTCGCTTCTGCGAAGTCTCACCTCCAAGCCCAAACCGCTTCTGCGACTTCTTGTCCGCTCCTGCGGACTCGCTTAGGCGAAAATACTTCCGCTTCTGCGGAACTGCTCAACCTCATCCTATTCCGCACCTGCTATGCTTTCTCCGCTTCCGCGTAACCGCATCTGCGGTCTCCTTTCCGCAGATGCGGAAATACCTGCTGCAGCCAAGAACCTGCAATTACCAACTTCAAATTTTCTTCCAATGGCCACCCGAAATCACCCCGAGGCCCTCGGGACTTCAACCAAAAGCACCAACATGTCTTAAAACATTATTCAAACTTGCTCCAATTAACGAAACACCTCAACTAACACTAAAATCATTGAATTACATCGTATTCAATCCTAAGTTTCTTAAAAATTTCCGAAATACGCATTTGTCCGAAAAGCCGCTCAAAACACCTGCGAATGGTCTGAAAATTTGCACACATATCCAAAATCACCTAACGAAGCTACAGCAACTCTCGGAATTCCATTCCGACCCTCGGATCAAAATCTCACCTATCAATCGGAACTCGCCGAAATACTAACTTTGCCAATTCAAGCCTAATTCTACACCGAACCTCCAAACTCAATTCCGATCGCACTCCTAAGTTATAATTCACCTCCCGAAGCTAACCGAATCACCGAAAACCACATCCGAGCCTCCTAACTCATAAGTCAATGTCCGATTGACTTCTCCAACTTAAGCCTTCCTTAAAGAGACTAAGTGTCTCATTTTCTACCAAAACCAATCCAAATCAACTCTAACACACCAAACACTGATAATGAAACATGAAGAAGCATGAAATGGGGGAAATGAAGCAGTAACACATGAGACGACGGGTCGGGTCGTTATATACTATTACTAATAAAGTTTGTTACATAATTTGAGTGCGCGTTTTACGCGACTTGACCACAACTTTAAATAATAATAATAAACATGTTGCAAATCGCGGGTGCGTTTCACGTGGCGCGGTTTGCAATGTGTATCAAAATGACAAGTGTACGACATCGTAACTTGCCAATAAATAACTCCATAAATACTAAGAAGCGGTTATAATTTAATTAAAAGCGGTCAAAGGTAAAATACACAATAGGTTTAAAACAGGTAATAGTTCAGATAACTAAGCCAAGTATTAATTGTTAAGCGACCGTGCTAAAACCACGGAACTCGGGAGTGCCTCCCATTTCTCTCGGGTTAAAAGAGTTTCTTACCCGGTCTTCTGTGTTCGCGGACCATAAGTAGAGTCAATTTTCTCGATTTGAGATTTTAAAATAAACGGGTGACTTGGGACACCATAATAATTATTCCAAGTGATGACTCTGATTAAATAAATAATTCCATTTCGAGTAATGTCACTTAAATTGAAAAAACTTCATATTCTTCGGAAAAAGGATGTGTGACAACCATGGGCGAAGCCACCTTCAGTAAAGGGTGGTCAACTGACCACCCTTCGCCGAAAAATTACGAAAAATTACACTGTGTATATAAGTAAAATATTGATTTTAGATATATAAAACCTATATTGAACACCCTTTGTCGGAATTTTTTTTCTACATCTTTCAAGTTTGAACACCCTTGAAAACATTTCTGGCTTCGCCACTGGTGACAACTGACAACCTAGATGACTATTTTCATACGAAATTAATATAAAAGAACAAGATACATAATAGAACACTAAACTTTTAAAGTTATCTTGGTTGCTTTTATGCTTAGATAGCCATCCACTACTTTTTTGACTGAGTAGGCTCAATCATGAGCGGTGTCAAATGGGTTTAGCTGAACCCGCTTCCTGAGAAATTTCATCGTGTATGTTGTTAAATTATACTTGAAATAGCAAAAATACGTATACAAGTGAAATTTGAATCGGCTTTGACTAAGCGTGTGTCTGTTGAGGTGGTAAAGAGGGTTCAAAATGTATGGAAGGAGTTGTGTTCGAATCCCGTTTGTGGTGCATGTACACTTTGTTTTGTAATCTCTATTCTCTAGTAGGTCGGAGTTATGTGCGTACAAGACAAATGGTACCTACTGAATTTACTATTCTTACCTTTGTCTGTTTTCTATTTCACTTTGTTTTTTCTTGAAATCAATAAAAATACAGTTTTACCTACTTCAAAAATTAACCTATCTACAAAGTGAATTTTAGTTGTTTCTTTCTTAAAATTTTGATAAAACATGAAAGTATATTTGTTTAAATTATTTAAGAACAAAAAAAGTGATCAAACCCTACTTGTCTTACCCGACACTACTGATATGAATAGCCACCGTCGTCTTTTACTAAATCCGCTTGTATAAAATTTTGAGTCTGCTATTGAGCTTAATATTTGTCATTTTTAAGAGCTTATATTTTAAAAATCTTATTTTCAAGGGCTTATGTTTAGGAGTTCTAAATTAAAAAAGTTTTTCCTGATATAATTTAGTGTTTGATATCTTCTCCTAATAAGGATGTAAAGACAGAAAATAATACAAAAAAGTAGGAGCGAAAGTTTTTTGTTGGTTTCCAACAAGAAAACTTCACGTTTTTTGTGTGATATTTTTATTCTTTGTCCTTGTTTAATCATATAGACCAATTTTGTTCCTTTCATATAATTTATTTATTGTTTTTAAAATTTAAATCATAAGCATTTTTTTAGAAGCTTAGTTGTTAAATTCGTTAAAAGTTAGTACAACATTAGGTTTTGAAATAGTAGTTACTGTTGGAAAAATAGTAATCATTAATTTGTGATAAGAAATTAATTTGGTACGTTCGAATAATAAAAAGAAGTTCTCCCGTAATTTAATTGAAATACCTAAATTACCTCAATGCATATTCCTGTTAAATAGATGGAAGATGACTTTTATTTTTTGATAAAAAAGAAACTAATATTATTACTAAGAAAGTTTGTTACATAATTTAACTTTACAAAACATGAATTAGTTAGTAAATTCATCTTGTAGCTAACTAGATTTTTTAATAATATGTCACTAAATAGGATTAGCAATGAATATTTATTATTTAACTACACAATTTATCTATCGCTATTTTTTTCTTCTTTTGTTAGTTAACTTGTCTAGAATACATGATACCTATATAACTGTTTTTGATACGAAATCAATATAAAAGAACGAGATACATAATAAAACATTAAAGTTTCAAAATTATCTTGGTTGTTTTTGTGCTTAGATAGGTCATCCGCTACTTTTTTGACTAAGTAGTCAATATTTATCATTTTTACGAGCTTATATTTTAAAAATCTTATTTTCAAGGGCTTATATTTTTTTTATAATTTTTATATGAATCGATAGAAGGTACACGCGCATCGCGCGTATCCTAAAACTAGTAATGACAAAATTATTTATAAATATATTTTTATTGGTAGTTGTTTGGTTTATTAGTATAATAAATATATATGTTTGATTTAACATGAGACCTAATATAGAATGAGTTACATGGGAAATAATATAAAATATGTTTTGATTTTATGTAAGATAAATTTGCATAATTTTTATTTTCAATTTTAATCTTTACTCTCTTAAAAGTCTTCAGAAGAAGAGCTTTTAGAACGTGCATTTTTGTTGTTTGATTATTTTATCTAATCCCTAGAATGTTATTCCACATTAAGTTTGAATATAAATACACAACTACGATATAATTAATCCAGAGATGAGATATACCAAAATCAAAACAACAAAGCATAAAACAAAATAATCTCACATTTTATTCTGAATTTTTTTTTGTCTCTTATTCTTGTAACGAAACAATTTCTGAAGCCCCGTTTGGCCATGAGTTTTGCCAAAATAAATTTGAGATTTATTTTCAAAACTCTTGTTTGGCCATAAATTTTGCTCATATTTTGGCCAAATCCCAAATCTCAAATCTCAAATCTCAAATCCCAAAATCAGCTATTGAGCTGATTTTGGGCCAAAATCCCAAAACTTGGGAATTATATACATGTTTTTTCAAAATAAAGTTGGAAAATATGTTTTGAAAACTTATGTCCAAACACATTTTCATCTTCAAACCAAACTTCACCCAAATCAGATTTTTCAAAATAAATTTGGGATCTATGGCCAAACGCTAGCTAAAAGTATAATTATGTTAAGTTGAGATAAACTAATAGAATGGACTCTAAACTAAGCTAGTGTTTGGACATATATTTGATTGAATTTTGAAAATAGAGTTTATGAAGTTATGTTGAAAAATAATTTTTCGAAGTTGAAATAGTGTTTGGAAATGCATAAATTTTGTGAGTGGAAGAAAAAATTTCATCAAAAAACTATCATAAATCATTTTTCGGGAACTTGAATTTTCTTATATTTTTTTTCCAAAAACTGACCATCTTCCATGAAAAACAATATTTTAAAAGAAATATTTGAAAGAATATGTCTAAAATCTATGGCCAAATAGGTGCTAAATTTGAGTGGAAAAAATCAAGTTTAAATTTACTCGTATAAATTTCAATAATAAAAGTTGAATTTGATTTGGAAGGGAAACGAGTATGAGTTCGAATTCAAATTTATATTCAAGCTTTCATTATGTCATTATTAACAATATCTAATATATAAATTTCATCTTATATATCCATATTTTAAATAGAAAATAAGGAAAAGATTCCCACAAAATTACAATAAAAAAACATAAATAAATTCACTTAAAACTCCAAAAACATGAAGCTATTAACCAGGCATAAGAGGAGATAGAGAAAGGGACAGCAGAGAGCAGCAGCCATGGCTTCTTGCTCCTCTCTCAGCTTCACACCTATCTCCTCAAACTCAAACCCCAAAAATCATTCCTCCTCTTCATTAATCCCTTCTCACCGACCCTTTACTTCCTCCCACTTATCATTTTCTAAATCTTCTTCCCTTCACTCACGTCAAACCCTTTTCAGAACTCATTGCCGGAGAGTTCCCCCTCCCAACGGTGCCAGTTTCTTGGTATTTCGAGCTTTGAATTGCATACCCTTTTGATTATTTCAGCTAATTTTGAGTTATGATTGAATCTTGATTTGTAAAATTTAGGTTTTGGGATGTGCTAAAAAGGCAGAGCCTTTGAGGATAATGATATCTGGTGCTCCTGCTTCTGGGAAAGGAACACAATGCGAGCTCATTACCAACAAGGTAATAGTTCTATTCTTTGTGTTAAAGTGTTGACTTTTCTTTTCCTAATGAGTTGGTCTAGGATTTCTAGTATGCATTTGGACAAAATTTGAGCTGAAGCTGAAAGAAGTGAGAAAGATTATATGAAATTGAATTTGAATGAATACTTGCTTAAGTTGAACTTGGGTTTCAATAGATCTAATAGATTTTTGGAAAAAAAAAAAAATGTTAATGAAAGCTAAAGATTTGTGACTGAAAGTTAGGAAATAAATTTGCAGTTAAAATGAACCTATGCCACTATTTTGACCTGACAAATGATTAAAGAAACTTTTACTGGGTTGTTGTTGTTGTTGTTGTTGTTGTTGTTGTAGAGACTGCCACTAGTCTAGGATGGGCTCACGATGAAAGTATGAATGTGGTGCTCAACCCGTGGACCTCAGTGCGATATTTGAACTTACAGAACATGAATATAAACGAAGTAGCAAGTCTCACAGACGGCCTCTAAAAGTTGAGACAAGTCCTTTGAGAAAATTTGCACCTGTATCAAATGTCATAACTTAGGAAACTTAAACATATCATATGCAATATCCATTTTCAAGTCATAAACATGTAAGATCATATGAAAACTTAATTGTAAGGATCATATGGAAAATTATTCAAGACATAACTTGTGCCTGTCAGCCTTTTAACGTAATCATAGCTTACGAGAGTCTTAATACATCGTAATCTTAACATTTTTATATTTAGGGCCGTGTGCTTATCACGACATCTGATTAAGACCCACCTGATTGGCTATTGGCTAGGAAGGACGTCTCAACTCCCAATATTGTACGATACGAAAGGGATTAGTGATGACAACACACCTACTTATGCGCCGTTACACTTTTGGGGGGAACCATAAGCTGCCATTACCAACACTTGCACGTGTGGTTCAGGGATTACACCACAAAACTTTGGTTGCGAGTATCCACGCAGATATCCAAAAGCATCATTCCAAATTATTCATCTTATTCATAGAAAAAATATATATTTCATCAGTCGTTGTGGCTCATATGGGCCTTAAAATGGATATTATCAAACCTTGAGCTTATCATCAAAATCTTGAACTTGAAATATTTTGTATTACCTTAACATAATGTGCATGATTATTCTTAGTATTTGAATCAAAGCAAGAATTAATTTTGTCCTTAAATTCATCGTAATACATGATTTAGAAACATTTGAGTATATTATACAAAATTATAGAATTTCATAAGCATCAGTCATACAGAACATTTCAAAATGATATTGGTTGCACAAGCTTTTCCCAACATGCACAAGTTCACAATTAACAATTTCAGATAGTCTTTCATGCATTTTATCAAATATTAAACATGCATACCTTTAGTTAGCTTAGTGACAACAGTGCTAAAAAGATCACGAACATCCCGCAATTATCGATCTACATCATTAGCATCATAATAGGGTCAATTTCACTCAAGCTATGTAAAAAGGGGTAAATTTCACTCTAATAATCCAACTAGCCCATGGGTGTTGGCCCTAGGCCAACCCAATCCTCATATATGGCCATGGGGTGTGTTCTGGCTCTAACCCTCTTAAATCAACCAATCCCACAATATTCAATCTATCCATAAGCTATTAAAACCATACCCATAACCCAAGGAGTGATTACCTTAATGTGGTCACATCCCAAATTAGGTGTTATTGGAGTATGGATGGAGAGTTGCAGCATCTAATCAAAGTGATGAACTTGGTGTTAGTATTAGCAGTAAAATTAGTTGAATTGTGTGACCATCTCATCTAGAAGTTTAAGCTGTTAGAGAGAGCACATTTTTATTTATTTAATTATATCTCCAAACACCCCTCACATGTGAGCTTGATTTTTTTTCATGGGCCAAGCATGTGAAAATTCTTTTTTGATCTCTACCTGCTCTGATACCATGTTGGAATGTTGTTGAATACATATGTAAATAAAATGTGCTCTCACATTTTTATTTACTTAATTTTGTTGAATGTCTTCCATGAAATGTTAGAAATAGTTGAAAACAACCAAATATGGCTTACCTTTGTGTTAGGGGAAGCCTTGAGGTGAAAACCCTTGTTTTGGAACATGCTCAAGCTTGGAAGAGTGAAAGATGGGAGAAAATATGAAGTTGGGTTTTATAGTGGAGGGTTTTGGAATAGGCATGTAGCAATAGCCGAAGAAAGGCTACAGTCATAGCATTAGAGGGCTAGGGTCGGACTACAGAAGCTGCCAGTGCAACCTTGAGGCTTTTGATAGTTAATTTGGTGGCCTAACTCATGGCCTCCAGATTCCACTGTGCTATGATCACAACACCCCTCATGCGATCATAGCATTAGAGATTTCCGAGGGATTCGACCTCAATAGGACTACCATCATGGTCAGCCTCATGCGATCGCGAATTAGGTTCCAAGGATCACTACCTCATTTTCTCTCTTTGCTCCGACCACAAGTCCGGTGTTGCGATCGCAACATCACTTGATTTTGGGTTGTTTTTCCTTTTCAATTCCAGATCAATTCTGAACCTCCTTAACTTACTCGTAACACATATTTCACCATCCCAAATCATAATGTTGTTGAATTGTGTAACCGTCTCATCTGAAAGCTTAAACTTCTAGAAAGAACATACTTTTGATTACTTAGTTATGTTTTAAACATGCCCCCTCACATGCGGGGAAAACTCTTTTTCTTGTGCCAAACATGTGAAAATTCTTTTCGATTATTGGGTCATGGATGAATGTGAGACCTGAAATCAGGAGCTCTGCTTGCTGTGGTACCATGCTCTATTACTATGTGATCGTCTCATATAGAAACTTATGCTAATAAAAGAGGTTCACTTTGAATTACTTAATTATGTTTTCGACAAGTGCGAATTGTCACGCCCCGAACCTGGGCCTGGACGTAACACTGCATCCGGTGCCTAATTACATGTAATCGAGGAAACCAACTGGCTGGCTGAATCAACATGTGATATCATAACATACTGAATGCGCAAGATAAACTAACATATGTTGATATACTGAAAGTCTGAATGATATAAATTAAAGTGCGAAATACAAGTCTGAAACATATCTGTAGCCAACACTAGTTAACATGAAAGCCTGCGAATCTGCCTAATTGTTACTCTAGTCTATAAATCCTCTAATGAAGTACCGAAAGCACTGACTGTTTGTAAATACTAAAAGACTATAAACTAATGATAATGCCCCGAAAGAACTGGAGCTCGCCAAATAGCTGGTACGAGAATCCTAGCGCTCTGCATTGTCAACCTGGAAATCGTTACTTGCATTGCAAGATGCAGGCCCAGGGTGAAAGGGACGTCAGTACATTTGAATTGCATTGGTATGTAAAGCAACTGAAAGAAAGAACTGTAAATACTGAAACTGATAACTGATAACTGAACCGAATGAAGGAGTAAAGACATGAATACTCCCTGTTCTGAATGAGAAACCACTTGTTTATCTGAGTAAGTAAGCTGCAGCCTCATGCACAATATAAATGTGCACAAGCTGCGGCGTCGGGCCCAAGTATACGTATACATAACTGCGGCCTCAGGCCCAAAGATGCATAAAGCATAAACTGCGGCCTCAGGCCCAAATACAGGTGTTCAACATTCAGGGATTTAAAATCAGGAACTAAGAATCATACTGCAATACATGATGCTGGAATACTGAATCTTACTAAGTTACCTGATACAAGAATGCTGAATAGGACTAGACTGAGACATGTATTCGTGAACTGGTTATGAGAACTGAAGCTTCAACTGTTTATGACATGCTGAGTAATCTAGACCGAGGCTCATGGGCATTAAACACAAGTCTATATTGATTACATATTGAGCTCACAACGTTCGGAATGAAATTCTTGAACTAATTACGAAGCTAGAGAATAGAAGTTCTGCAACTATTCAAGGAATTAAGCTTAACTATATTTCTGAGGCAATCGGTAATGATGCTGTAAAAGAAACATAGTGTAGGGAGAATTATCAACATTCCCAAATGTAGAGAGTTAACCTCATGTACCTTGACCCTGGTCTTTTTAAGCGTATCACAATGTTTGTTGCCTCTTTCAACGATGATCTATCGCAATATATATCAAGAGAAACCAATATTAGCACTAATGCTCATGTTTTAGTCACTTAGGCATTTTATCAAACACCTTATGGGCGTAAAGCCTCATAGCGTTTTTTAATGGTGTTTCTTCACCCAATTCTCATTCTACTTCTTCTAGGCGATTCTACGATCCCAAATAGATGTAACTAACACCCTTTCTCATTACCCAAATGTTTACAACAATCTTAAGTCAGCGACCCAAAACCCTAGCATAGTCCATATGATTCTCTTTATCAAACTCGTTTGCTATTCTCCCAAGAACTCATCAATTCATAGCTATAAATGATTAGGGAGTAGAAGCATTACCTTTTTGAAGTTGAATTCTCTTGAATTCAAGTTCTAGGGTTTCGTTTCTCAACAATGGTGTCTCAATCGAATATCTAATGATTTGAAAGGTTTACCCATGTTAATAAGGTGTTGGATAATTGAAATTAACTTAGAATCGTCATTAGAACTTACCTTGGATGATGGAGGACCTTGGAGGAAGTTGGGTTCTCGAGAGGTTCCCTTTCTAGAGCAAATTTACGTGTTTGGCGTGTAGGGAACGAGGTAGGGCTTTAGTGTACACGTCCAAAGTTGAGGAGGAAATAAAAGTGGCCCGGATAGACATCGTCAGCGCGTGGGCATCATCGGAAGCGCCAAAATAACAGTGCAAGGCGCTATCAGAGGCGCCAAAACTACACGGCCTTGCATCGTTAGGTGTGCCAAAGTTAGTCTGTCTAAGGCTGTGAGTTTTCACGGCCTTGCAATGTCTTCGCAAGCTTTGCAATATTTTTATATAGAAAATATTGTTGGGATTTCAAAAACTTCCTAGAAGACAGACCTTCCATAAACTTAGTCGATTATATCGAATCTTATGCACCACACTCTCCGTCTTGATTGCAAAACACCTTTTTTCACCCATACTCATCCCGGTAGGACTACACATGTCTAAAATGTCACATTAATACTCATTTAACACATCCACACCTAATCCCAATTTACGGAGTGTTACACGAATAGGCTGTTGTACAGGTCTTGTTGGCTAGATGAGTTGGGGGTGAGAATGGGAATACTCATCGCAGAGATGATGAGCAATTTAAAATGAGAATACTTGTTTGTGGTCTCCTTATTTTCAAACTAATGTTCTGTTTCTCTTTTATTCATTTGGTTAATGCATCTTCTCTAGAGTTCGCAAAGTGGTTAGCTGAGTGCCTGTGATGAATACACAATTATCAGCTATATCTGGCCAATAAACAAGCATGATCCACCTGTTAATTTTTTATGAACATAAGTCAAGCCGATAATCGAGCATGAACCACCTGATAATTTATTTCAACCTGCATAATCATTTGCACACGCCATAGTACTGGACAACCATGTACTTGACTTGACCAATCCTGCATCAGCTATGTACTAGCAATTGCTTGCAAACACTTCTTTGCTAGTATCGTGCTTACAATCTCCAGCTCTTGTTTTATCCAGGATTTTTTGGATTTCTCTAGATATTGTAAACTACATAGAACCACAAGAGTGGTCACTCAGCTCCAGAGTAGGCTAAAAGCTTCGTTCTCTGGCTCATACTACATTTTTGAAGGAGACTCCTGGTTTCCTTAACCAATATAGCTTTCCCTATGCTTATTCCGTTATTAATCTTAGGTATCTTTATTTGTGTCTAAAGTGAATTCTTATCATACATTCCTGTCAATTTGAGATGTTCTCTCACATGCATTGTGGGATTAACCAATAAGTAGAAAATGCCTCCCAACCAAAAGTGGGAATGGAATAAGCTTCTCTGTCTTATTTGTAATGGAAGCCCAGGCTGCTTGAATTCACATGCTTTATGGGTCTTGGATAATTTAGCTTTTGTTTGATCGATGTGCTGGTTAAGTGGTTATTCCTTTCCTCATTTGGGATGTAATGGATAGTGGTTCCTTGAATATGCTTTTAGTTGCTTCCTATACCCTCTGTGTTCCTCAGTATGTAGTCATCTGTGAGGAGAAATAGTGTCAATCCAGTTTTCATGTGTGTGCAGTATGGTTTGGTGCATATTGCTGCTGGAGATTTACTGAGGGCAGAAATTGCTGCAGGATCCGAAAATGGGAAGCAAGCAAAAGAATACATGGATAAAGGGAAATTGGTACCGGATGAAATAGTTGTGACGGTAGGTTTACTTCATGCATTGCCTGCTTTGGTCAGTATGCTATTGCCTAGTATGCTTTATAGGTCGGAAACTGTCATTAATTCAGGCAATCTTATTGATTGGTAATAAGTGGTTCCTTCTGGTGCAGATGGTCAAAGAACGGTTAAATGGTCCAGATTCTCAAGAGAAGGGTTGGCTTTTAGATGGATACCCTCGGAGCTCATCTCAAGCCATAGCACTCAAAGAATTTGGCTTCCAACCAGACCTCTTTATTCTTCTGGAAGTGAGGTTCTGCTGTGGCCCTGTGCCTCGTGTTCTTTCATTCTTTTCTTAGTGAAGTTCCTTTTGTTAAGGCCATACGGAAAATTATGCGATTTCATTACTTAGAGAGACTTTTAAATACTTTGAGATTCCTTGACCTTTCCTTTGTTTCTCTTGCAGTAGACTGTAACTCCAGGAAGTTTCACTATGTAATCACCTTCATTCTGTCACAAGATTTTTTGTGTGTATAGGTACCTGAAGAGATTCTTGTTGAGAGAGTAGTTGGCCGTAGGCTGGATCCAGTAACGGGGAAAATTTACCATTTGAAGTATTCTCCACCAGAGACGGAAGAAATTGCTGCTAGGCTTACTCAGCGCTTTGACGACACAGAAGAAAAGGCATGTTTTAGTCCATGAAATAATCAACATTACCTTTCTTGGTTACTTATAAAAAATACGATATCATTTGGTTTAACTTTCCTGCTATTTATTTGCAGTAGGTTTGATGTGAAGCCTTTGAATCAAATTCCTTCATGTGAAACTCATCTGACTCTCAATTAACAGTTGCCTCCCTTTTGAGTCATTAGTTTGCCTTTTAAATAAATTTATCCCCCTTCTCAGCTCCTTCTCTATTCTTCACAACTGTGACCCACCTCCTCCCAGCCAATCCAAGCAAACTTTTCCCCATCCCCCCAACAAGGTGAAAAATTAGAAATCCATCGGGCAATCTTTGACCTAAAGGACGGTTTGGACCTGAAAATGCTGCCGTCGTTCTGCAATTTTCCTCTTCAACTAAACCATTTTGTTATGTTCTCTTCTTATTCCAGATTCGGTTTTTGTATCTTTAAAGCCAGAAGTATATTAATTAATATTCTTTAATTATTCTTATGATTACCTTTTCAGGTTAAATTGCGTTTGCACACTCACCATCAAAATGTGGAGGCAGTTCTCTCCTTGTATAAAGATATCACAGTCAAGGTACTCCTTTTGCCAATCTTCTTTTGAAAAGTGACTTGACCTTAAACTGCGGAATGAAATGGCTGGATACTGAAACTATTAAATTTACATAGCAAATGAAAACCCCATTAATGAGTTATTGCTTGAGAATTTTTGAGGTATTATGGGTCGATGTTATTTTTCTAAAAAGAAAAAGGGTATTATGGGTCCATCAATAAGATATGGATTCTCAATTATACATGCATTATATTTGCTCTAAGAAACGGTAAAAAGTAATCCACTGTTGGTCCAAGTATACTATAAATCTCGTCTTGCTGTCCCGTTCTGTTCATTAATTGACTTGGTTAGAAAATAGAACTAAAATCTTCAAGTTGTATTAGCCATATAATTGGTAGTTAGGCACAGAAAATCATCTAAGCTTGTAATTAGTGTTGTTGTGGTTATAATGTGCTGTCCTCTAAACAGATATTGCTCTGTTTTTTTGATTGATAAATGAGAAGCTCTTTGAGTTTGTTTAACAAAGCATTGCCTTGGTTGCATGATAGTGTCTTAACTACCACTTTCTTTACCGCCTTCTTTATCCTAGATGCTCTTGTTTGTTCTTCTACTTTCTCGATGCAGTTCTTTATCTGTTCCTGTATTCTCCTTGCTTACTGAAGAATCTTTTTAACTTTCTTATTAATACGTAAAATTTGGAATATAGCCTTGAATAGTTCATTGACCGACACCATGCAACATTGCTCTGTGGAAAGAGGAGTTAGTTAACACATCAACCATGGAGCACTTTGAGTTTTTAGTTGTCCTAATTCCTAAAGCTGCTAGTACATAAACTAGTTGTAGAGATTATAAAGAAGTAAGACCTAAATGTATCTAGAGTTTATGGTCTTAAGTTCCATCTTATTTTCGTTAATCCACTTGTCACATCATCGTTAAGGGAACGGAACGGTGTGATGCTGTATAACAAATGAATGCACCCTGATTGGCATCATTATGCTCAATAAAAGGACTGAGAGGAGTTACAGCAATACCTTGCAAGATTTAAACAACCCAACCTCCTCAACCCCCCC